CTCAGGCTGGTCTCGAACTCCTGAGCTCAAACAATCCGCCCACCTCGGCCTCCCAGAGTGCTGGGATTACAGGCGTGAGCCACCGCGCCCAGCCTTAAATGATTATTGTTAAACATGCCTGTTATTTATATGTCGAATTCTAAGGAAATGGAATAAGGTATTGTTTAAAACCAAATTATTGATATCACACATCTTTCCATATGTAAGCCAAACTCTGGGAAAATACTATGGGTCAAATTACAATACGAAAATCCTTCAAGGGTTGTTCTAGATCACTATGGTAATGTTATCTTTTACTGGTAGTGCTTGAGGCAAATAGACTGCCAGATGGATTTGTAATCCTTTAAATTATAGTTGTGGTAATAGGGCTGAATTATAATGAAGAATTTTTATAAAAAAGGTACTAAAACATATAGATGCTTCTAACTGATATATTTTTTAAAGAGGTTAAAGGTTATATATTAAACTCCATTTCTATACTCTATATTTAAAATAATATTCAACAAAAGAGAATAAAGTTAAAAGAAAATCAAGAACATACCTGTGGAACATTCTTTATAATAGGCACTGGCTGAATTATGGGTGAAACATTAGATTTAGAAGCAGCAATTGGTTCAACTGGAGTTAATATTTTCAGTGGTCCCATTCTCTCATCTTGATCATTTATCAATTCTATATTTTCATCTATTTCTATGGGAGGAGGTGGCATCTGGGCAGTAGGTTTAGAATGAACTGATTCTTCCAGCGAAGGATAAGTAAAATCCACTAAAATCCCCAAAAGAATAATAATTTTTTTAAAGAAGAGCAAACCCCATAAACAGTAGTTACATTTCTCATGCACGTTATGTGCGATAGTTAAATGTAAACTAAATGAAAAGACAATCACAACAGTCTTAAAGAAAACATCAACTTCCAGGCTTTTATTTTTATGCCTGAAAACAAACTGCAATAGGACAAATGCACACAAAACACACCAATAATGTTACCCTGAAAACATACATAACCTATCTTAAAGTATATTTTATGAAGTGATTTTAGATAAAAATTTTCACATACATACATGAGATAGACACCTCTTCATTCTTGCCTCGTGGGGGTGGAGTGACTTTAGCATTTGTTGTATACTGAGGATAGCAAAGGAGCCAGTTTTCATAGCCTCCCTCTAAAACCAAAGGCTCATTGCGCAGGACAGTTTTACTTTCCCACTATAAAATCAAAAAATAGTATTTTTAATATGGCAGAAATCTCTCAACAGCTAAAAGCACAACAAATTTGAATTTTTAAGTTGTTCTTTTAAAGATAAGATTTATCTTCTAAATGATGAAAAATGAGAACTGAATTCAAAATTTTAAATAGATACATAGATCAGGTTTAAAAAACCACACAAGTAATCCATGATCTTAGAAGAAAAATTAGAAAATAAATACATTAATATAAAATAAAAATTACCCATAATCTTACCACCCAGAAATACCACTTTACATCATTTTGGAGTTTATTCTTATAGACATTTTTTGACATAAATATTGCTTTTTTAATTTCAATTTTACAAAACAATGAAACTTTTATGATGCTTTTTTATATGAACATTTTTCATTAATAAAGAGCTGTATCATCATTTGTAATGACTAAAGTATTATTCTATTTTATACACATGCATACACACATATCAAAACTGAATCAATCATTTGAACACTTTTTTTCCCATTTAATTATAAGCAATGCTGAGATAAACATCAAATATCCTTACAGATGCACATATCCCATCAACTCCTTTAAGGAAAATTCCTAGAAGTGGAGTTGCTGGGCCAAGGCACATGAACATTTTAAGGTTTTCAATATATACTGCTGATCTGAGAAACGATCACTTAAAAGTACGTATTTGTATATTTCTTTAGGATAATTACCTAGGAGTAGAATTGCCGGTTTAAAATTTTGACCGATGATGCCAAGTTGCCCTTCAAAAAGGTTATACGAATTTATATACCTAACCACCAGGATATGGGAATGCCCATCATAAATTTTTACCAGACTGGTACACATAAAATGGTATCTTGTTTTAATTAGCATTTACTAGTGAAGTTGAACATCTTTTCATATATTTATTAATCATTTATATTGTTCTATGACTTAATCTCATCCTTTGCCCATTTTTCTATTGTTACTTGCTATTTTCTTAGTAAACAGTACATGTACTCAGAATATTAGGGAAAATAGGTCTTTGTTACAAATATTTTTCCTGACTGATTTTTACTTTATTTATGGTGGGCTTTTTTACAGTCAAATGTACTGATCATCCTTTATGGAATCTTGGGTTGAGATGAAGATAATAAAAATACCAACACTTTCTCCTAGTATTTCAATGTTTCAGCCTACACATTTATATCTTTGATCCATTTGGGATCTAGCTTGGTCTAAGAAATAAGGCAGGGATCCACTTTCATTTATTTACTGGCTAGCCAGTTGTCTCTTAACCTTTCATTTCAGTCCATCTTTCCCTCACAGATTTGTTATGTCACCTTTATCATACGCTAAACTTTCACATATGTTAGGTTGAACTTTATGAAATTACCATTTTTGCAGGTCAGTGCCAACTGAATACTGGCAGTTTCAAATAATCGGCCTATATTTGGGTAAATTTCTGAATTCCCTATTTTAAAGCATGAACGGTTTTAAGGCTTTTAAGACTGCCTTACTGAAGAGCAATGTTCTATCAACTGATGCTCTTACTAGCAGAATGAGTTTTATTCTCACCACATGCTCACCAGCATTCTGTGCTATCATTGTTTAATAATTTAACAGCAGTGGGCCCTCTGTAGCTGTGATATTCAACCTACCACGGATTGAAAATGTAGTTAGGCCTATGATGGTTATGTCTGAACTTAACATGTATGGACTTTTTTTCTTGTCATCATTCCCTAAACAATATAGTATAATGACTATTCACATAGCATTTACATTGCAGTTGGTATTATAAGCAATCCAGAGATGATTTAAAGTATATGAGAGGATGTGTATAGATTATATGCAAATACTACAATATTCTACATCAGGGACTTGAGCATCCCTGGATTTTGGTATCTGGGGGGGTCCTGGCACCAATCCCACACAGATACTGAGAGATGAATATTATTATTTTTTAATCTTTGTTAATTTGATCAGTGAAAATGGTACTCATTTTGCAATTTGCTTTTATCTGATACCAGTAAAGTTGACCAATTTTATGGCTATGTCCACTTGCATTTCATCTTCTGTTCATGTCTGCTGGTCTCCACTACTTACTTTACTATTTTATCTTATTTTATGTATTTTTCTTATTTGTAAAAGTTCTTCAGATTTTAGGTGTTTTAAACCACTGCCATAGTTGTTGCAAATATTTCTTGTTGGCCTTCTGCCTTCAAGTCTTATGATGTTTTTTCATACCTTTTATTTTATGAAGTAAAATCTATCTACCTTTTTTCCTTGATGATTTCTTCCTCTGCTTTTATGTTTTATAACCTAACTTTTAAAACAAAAAATAACATTTTACAGATAATTTATATTTCTGAAAATTCTAATGTATTTTATATACATCAGTTATTATCTGGTGATTCAAAACAATCTTTTAAAACTGAATTTTTTAAAAATTCTACAATCAAAGCATGACGGCTCTTTTAGTACTTAAGATAAACTAGTCAACGTGCCTTTCTAACAACCAGAGAAGGCTTGCAATTACAGTAGACTAACAAAGAAACTTGCTAACCTTGAAAAGTGCATCTTTCAGACTCCGTAGAGTTGTTCCAAGCTGTAAATCTCTGGCAGAACTAAACCAGTCAAGAAGTACCACATAATCCACATTCCCCCTCTTCTTCCATGTGTCTTTAGAATCATCTGGGAGCTTTGCTTCAATCCAACTAGCAGTGACTCTGAAATGTATTAACATTTGTATTGGGGCAAAAGTCGAAGAGAGGTCCCAAAATACTAACATAAGACACTGAGTTTTGTTCTACGGTCTGTACCACACCATTACAAACTTTAAGTAGATTCCTTTCTAAGGTCAGACTGCATATGAAGATGTTAAATAGCCTAAAATGTTTAACTCTTTCACTCCTGAATAATGTTGGAATATGATTTTAGTAATTATTAGACTAAAAGAAGTAGACTCAATTCTGATCCTTTTTTTAAAAAAGGCCCATTGGGTGTAGTAGCACGTGCCTGTAATCCCAGCTACTTGGGAGGCTGAGGAGGAAGGATCTACTGAGCTCAGGAGTTTGAGGCCAGCCTGGGCAACATAGAGAGACGTTGTCTCTAAAAAAAATAAAAATTATAAAACAATTTAAAATGGGCTGGGCGCGGTGGCTCACGCCTGTAATCCTAGCACTCTGGGAGGCCGAGGCGGGCGGATTGTTTGAGCTCAGGAGTTCGAGATCAGCCTGGGCAAGAGCGAGACCCTGTCTCTACCAAAAATAGAAAGAAATTAATTGGACAGCTAAAAATATATAGAAAAAATTAGCCGGGCATGGTGGCGCATGCCTGTAGTCCCAGCTACTTGGGAGGCTGAGGCAGTAGGATTGCTTGAGCCTAGGAGTTTGAGGTTGCTGTGAGCTAGGCTGACACCATGGCACTCTAGCCAAGGCAACAGAGTGAGACTCTGTCTCAAAAAAAACAAAAACAATTTAAAATGACCCAAACTGAAAACAGAGTAAGTCGTCTGAGCACCTCTCTCAGCCAAATATAAACTGGGGAATCACCTGGGTGACATTATTCATATTTCAGTTCTCTTATACTTATATGGATAATTAAATAGTTAACCAAATACCAAAATGTTTATTTAACAAACATAGCATTTACTATGTGCCAGATACTGTTCTAAATGCTTTACTCCCATTGAATCCTCACAAAAATTACTATTACCTTCATTTTATACATGGGGAAACTGAGGCACAAGGAAGTTAAGTAACTTGCCCAAGGTTACAGCTAATAAGTGGAGCCAGAATTAAAGCTCAAGCAATCTAGCTCATAGTTACTTTGCTACGCTGCCTCTTATATCATCAACTGCAAACATCAACTCTACTTTAAAACACACTGTTCACACCATCTTTTGCTCAAGTAAAAGCTAAAGTCTATTTGGGAAGCTGAGCCAGAAGGATTGCTTGAGACCAGGAGTTTGAGGTTGCAGTGAGCGATGACTGCACCACTGCACTCTAGCCCAGGCAACAGAGCAAGACTCTGTCTCCAAAAAAAAAAAAAAAAAAAAAAAGAGCTAAATTCCTTACAGTAGCCTGCCACACACATACACTCCCAATGCTATTGTCTCAATGCCCTGATCTCCAACTACTTGCCCCCTTTACTCACTCACTCCAGTTATTGCCTTCCTTGTTTTTCCTGGTTCGAGCAGATATGCTTTCGCCCAAGGGCCTCTGTCTGGAACCTTCTTCCCCCAGATATCTACATCATTCATTTCCCTTATCTCTTGAAGGGATACTATTGCTAGTAACTTCTCTATGAGACCTTACTGGATTAAAGTTTTAAGACTATCCCAAACACACACATACTTGACACTCCTACCTCATAGCACTCACCATCAGACATGATTTGCATTTTAAGTTTTATTGTCTGGTGTTTCCTATACCACCTCCCTGTAAACATAAAAACTCCACCAAGGCAATTTTTCTCTGATCAGTAGCTTAACATCAACACTTAGAACCACAGTAACCCAGCCCATAGTAAGTACTCAGTAAATGTTTGTTGAATGATTGAATGAATGAATAACATAGATTCACTCCTACAGGTAAGGATTCCACATTATTCCTAGCAAAGCACTTAGTATATAGTAGGCATTTCAATATTCAACTGGCAAGCTGGGCAGGAGTGGTAAAACTTTTATCCACAAGCAAAACTAAATGGTTTGGAATATTTAAAAAAACTTTTTTAGAAATCCTGTTCCTATATAATAATGTTGGTTACTGTATCTTCTAGGAAGAAAAAAAGAAGAAATATAAAATATTATCTCATAATATCCTCTCCTGATATATAATGATCAGAAAGATGCTTAGTCAATAAAGAATGAGAAAAAATGAAATGTGACATTCTGAATGACCATTTCCAACTCTAGGGATATATTTGCCTAAATACTGTTCTTAGGGTTAGTATTCTACAGTAAACACTTCGGGAGACAATGGTTATCAACCAGTGTTTCCCAAACTTCAGTCTTTCATGTATCATCTTCACAATTTGCTCTAACTTTGCTCTACCTGCCCTATTATACAATATTTAAATTTAATTATTAATGCATTTAAAGTAATCTTTTACTTAAATAAATTTAATAGGAAATTGTATGTCCCTATATACATGGAAAAACAGCACTGAATCTAATAAATAAAAGGTAAGTCTAAAAATAAAATAGATAAATAAATTCTGCTGGCCGGGCGCGGTGGCTCACGCCTATAATCCTAGCTCTCTGGGAGGCCGAGGCAGGCAGATTGTTTGAGCTCAGGAGTTCGAAACCAGCCTGAGCAAGAGGGAGACCCCGTCTGTACTAAAAATAGAAAGAAATTAATTGGACAACTAAAAATATATAGAAAAAATTAGCCGGGCATAG